CCTGACACCATGCTGGAAACCCGATCAACTCTAAGAGCCCGCAGCCTAGCCGCCTCACTGTTGCCTGGGTAGGCCCCCTTCATTCATCAGGCCCACACTACCCCGCGCCCGAGTTTGCCAGCGAGCGGGAAATCGAATGTGGTGTGACGAGACAGACACGACTGTAGGATCTGCTTGGCTGCATGCTGGAGTGCACACACCTTCTTGGCTTGGAGAAGCTAACACAGGACGAAGAAGCCCAAAGAACGCCAACATGACCACGTGCATCCACGTGCATGGGAGGGATATCCTGAGGTTTGGGGGGGCCTAGGTCAACTATACCCTCACCTTCGGAGCTTGGTCGCCCGGTCCGAAAAGAAAGCCCAGCCACTCTGGCGGGGCAACAACACTGGAACATATGCATTGTAGCAGGTGACCTGTGCCCGCCACCTGCCATGACACAATGTGTAGTTGCAAGCTGAAGCTGCCCGTCCTCAAGGAGTGGAAGCGACCGCCGGGGATGTAGACGACAGAGCCGGCTGAAATGACCTAGGAGGAAGCGGAAGCCTGGAGACGAGCGCCTTTCGATGCCGGAAGCCACAAATCACTCCGCTTCTGAGCATAGCTTGGTGGGGGGTTGCCGATTCTCACGAGGCACTCCAATTGCTGCAGAGTCAGCAGTTAACAGGGAATCTAGCTGACTGGCTCCTTTTCCTAAGCTTGCCCTTGCACAAAGTTTGGATAGACGCAGGAGGTTCGGATAGAAGCATTACTTGTAACGTGGCTCTCGATATGTTAAGTCCTATCGTCTGTCGGTGGGCACTCGCTGGTTACCAAAAAAAATGTGCAGCTCTGCCGCAGCTGCCATGGCTGCCAAAAAACGGGTTCCAGTGCCAGGCCGGCCAAGGTGTGCAGAGGTTCGTACAGAGCACTAAGGAAGGTCTTACATTCAATAGTACTTCTCAGCCTTCGTCAAGACCAGATCGAAAACCTGTACATCTGGAGGCCTGAATGAAGCCCACTATCCCTCTCAAGCGCCAGGTCATCCCAAACCAGAACGAAACCCGCTTCTGGAGTGGCGTACACTTTCAAGAACTGCGCAACATCGCGAGCTCGAAAGACCAGGGGATGAAGCGAAAGCATCGTGAGGAGACTGCGGGCGAGGCACCTTGTCCAGAGTCACTCTGCTGCCAGGGAAGTGCCCTGCAACACGCACCCTCTTGGTGCCGTTGAGGACATAGATTAGAGCATCCACGGTGTCCTAAGTCCAGTTTGACACTTGATACACGGGAAAGTGCAAGACTTTGGGAGCTTTCCATACTTCCAGCGCACCGCTGACATCAAAAGGTCTGAAGTGTACCATGGCTCCGTGTGCCAGCCGTATGAATTAACTGGTCGTCGACCAACACGTGCGCAGTAAAGATCCACAGAGCCTGATACATGCAGAAAGCAGAGGTCTCACTTGCAAGGTAGCTCGTACGTCGACACGTGGGGTGTTAATCACAGTCGCTACGACGTCTACGGGGTTGGAGGCTGGGGGGATGTCTGCATGACACATACCACAAGGACCGAGCTTCACGTGGAGCTGCAACCGTGACTTCGAGAACGCTTCGAACACCGACGCACACGCGCAACTGTCGACTCAGTGGACCATAGTGGACCCCTCGGGGAGCACGTCTATTGAGATTCAATCTCCATCATTCCGTGTGTCCGAGTTGCAGTGAAAGTAAAGGAGTAAGTCGGCTCTAGTTGTTCGAACTCAGGAAATCTGTCCTCTTCTTCTTTACAGCCACACTGGAGGGGGAACGCCCCTGTCCCTGCGAACCCCCTGTCCCTCTCACTCTCTGTCTCTTCTGTTCCTGCGTCTTGTCGTTGAATATTGTGGGATGTTCCGCCTGCACAGAAGGGAGCCCCGGATTTCGGATTTCCTGAGTAGCCGGATCTATGGATGTCCAGCTACAATTTCCGTAAGGCCATAGAGGGTGTCTTCAGCCTTGCTGCTGTAGCTTCACATACTTTTCGCTCACACCTAGCTTGTTTGCCTCCGTTCTGTCTCTCGTGGTCTTTATCTTTGCATCTCTGTTTGCCTGCCTGCATGACTCCTTCTCTTCTTGCAAGAGCCGCGGTGACTTGAGCTTTCTAGCTAGACGAGAGTACACCGCCCATAAACCATGAAGTAGCTCGAAACTGCCTGCGATGCCAAGAGTGGCGTACAGCTTCGGTAGCCACTCTTGAACAGGGCTGAGGCCTTAGACACAGGGACATCAAAACACATCAGAACCTTCTCCACAACTTCAGGCTCTTCAGATTTCCGGCACGGATCTGGAGTTGACTCCAAGACAGGGAGCGAAGACTGAGTTCTTGTGGCCGTCAACGGTTTACTCGCGGTTACTGGCGGCTAGCGCTAGCAATCTCATCTGGACTGAGCATTCTTCATGAAACGTCGTGAAACTGAACTGGTGACAGAGGAGCGGTTCATGCCCTCCACAGCAAACGCCCGGCCAGGTGGAGCGTGCATGTTGGTCCAGAAGCCTGAGATGCTGCACGCCCTCTTTTCGAGTCGATTGCAGCGCTACCAGTGCTCGCTTCGCTCTGTTTCGAGCAGCCTCCCTTTGTCAGGATTTGCCCCAGTACAGCCCCACTCTGCAGACTCGTCAGTCTAATGATGGCCACAGCTGCGGGCAGTCGCCACGGGAGGGCCCCGCCGAGATCCATCGGGAAGCGTCTGGTTGTAGGGTCGCCTCAAGTCTGCGAAGATGTCAGGACTGCTTCAGGAAATCTCCCATTGATATCTCCCTCTCATTCGCGAGCCAGCCGCTCTACGAGGCTCCAAAGAAGATCCTCGGAGTCTTCCACCGGGTGGGGCACCAGAACCTGCGAGAGCTGAAGAAACGACTGGACAAAACCCTTCCTGCGGCTGATGCGGCTGCCTTGAAGTTCAGCTGCTCGAAAGCCTCCGCTGTGTCCAAGGCCCAAACCTGGGCTCCGGATGCGAAATCCGAAGCTTTCACTAATCTTGACTACTTCTTGTCACGTGGGGCTTCGCTGGAACATTGAGACACGCGCCTCCCACGGATAGTCCTCGATGACCTTGAGCCTCAGTGGCAAGCTCTGCAGGGCATTGAATTGCAAAACAGACGTACTGGACTGCTTCGCAGAGTCGATTTCAGTCTGTAGGCGACAGCTGGATCAGCCGTTCAGCTCTGCGGCTGGTGGGCGTGAGGACGTCAAGACGACACACATGCTCCGACTTGGCCTAAACCTTTTACCAGACAGGCATCATTTGGGTATGCTTTGGCCTTGACAGAAATGCCACGGTTGGAGCATGAAATCTGAAACAGTATCCATGCACCGAGACTGCACCAGCTGTTTCTAGCAAGACGTTGAGATCTGTTGACACCGAGCATGCCTGCAGTGGCTGGTCTGTCTTTATTCACTCGTCTACTCGAGCGACTTGCCACAACAGTCGCTACGCCGAGCAACAGTCGTTACGCCGAGCAACAGAGCGTGTTTTGGAAAACACTCCCAGAACTCACTGAGGGTTCCCCGGCGCCGTGCTGCAGAAGGGCGAACCAAACCCAGCAAATGTCCCATAGTAGCTTGCGTCTGACGTTGCCGCTGCCACATGAGCCTGTAGTCCTTTGAGGAAGCTGCCAGAACCCTACTTGGCTCCCACCGCATAGCACGTTCTTGAAGAGTTAGCTTACGTCTAGCGGCCTTCTGCTCCTGCGCAGAAGCGCCTTCTTGGGCAGGCCTGGCATGCACAACAACCCTGATCGCGCCAAGAGGCCGAACATTCTCGCAGACCCAAGAACGATGGCGCTGCTCCACCAGGAGGCTGGAGGCGAGGAGACTCTCTCAAAGTTGTAGCCTCTTTTTGAATCTGGTGCCGTTTTGGAGGACTGACCGGCCGTCGAGACCCTCCAACCTCATCTAGACATGTAGCCTTCGCAGACTGGAAATGCATTCTCTTGCTAGCATCAAACCTATGGTACCGAAGACGCCAAAACACATCCTTGAGAGACTAGGCCAGTCTTTGGGGCATCTTTACAGCCTAGACATGACAACTCGGAAAACTAAACATAGGCAAACCCATAGATAAAGGATAAAAAGTAGGTTCCAGACGACTGGGAACTGAGGAGAATGAGCAAAGTCCAGCTTAGTTGTTTGCGCCTCTGCACCTTGAATCAATACAGCTTGCAGACCTTCGTTCCCTCGTCCCACGGCGTGTTCGAGAAAGCTACTTCCTCGCAGAAAAGCTACTTCCTTGCTTACAGGCCTCTACCCTCTGGCCTCTGACCTTGGTTACACTTTGCCGGCGTGCCTTTTGAGCCGCTCCTTGCTACAGGGAGTAGCCGCCACGGCGGCGACGCAAAGGAGTGCGACCCAGCGCATTTATAGATCACTCCTCCGTGACTACTGACCCGATTGGTTCCCGATCTGCGTGTCCATGCAATGCTCGTGTTGGAATGTCGGTTGGCTTATGCCCCCACTAGGCGGTCGGCTAATGTGCACATGTCTGCTGTCTTGGTGCCTTAACGTGGCTGGCCCAGCTTAAACGCAACAGCCAGATTCAGATGTTCTCCTCGTTGGTGGGTTCATGGAGCTACCAACTTTCAAGACAGAACTACTCAGAGGCCTTCGCGCCCCTAGCGAAAGTTTCGGGGTGAGTGAGTGAGGAGCTCGTTCAAGGTCAGAAATTCAGGGTTTGCCTGCCAATGTGTTGCATGCGTGCTTGCGTGCACTTGCTGCGATGTTTGCGAAGCTCCAGCCGAAACATCAGGCGGCAACACGGCACAACAAACTCTGCAGGATGAAACATTGGGCTTGGCCTCGCTATTCGACGCAGGCGGCTCATGAAGAAGCTCCCCATCTCCGAAAACTACCGGGAAACTACCGCTTGCAGTTACAGTAGCATCCCGCATCCACTGCACATGGAATCACAGGAGAGGCCATGTCGGTGGCAATCCACGGAGACCCGCGATGCAAGTCAGACCACAGCTACCGCTTGAACTCACGATTCACTTGGGATTTAGAGGCGACTCTGAGGGCAACTTTTCCTCTTTGTGGAACGGGCACCCCTCATCGTGCTGCACAATCCATCGCCAGGTGAGGTTGACTCGATATTCCTGAAAGAGGGAAAGGCATCTGGAGCAGTGAGCTCGACCACTTTGTCAGCAGAGGTCCAAGCTAGATGAGGACCAAAGCTGAGCGTTACAGAAATGCCCTGGGATCTGTCACAAAAGTTCGACCGTTCCGCAAGTACAGCTGCCAAACTCTGTCTCTGAGAGCGCTGCCGAAACATCCTCCTCCGGAGGAACTCGATGTCGGTAGTGCTTTTGGCCTCAAAGCAAGCGGATTGTATTAGTAAGCTATCCGCTTATTGTGCTCAAGATGACAGACCACCGGAAGGAGCCGGGATAAGTTTCGGGCAAAGGCCTTCCATGGTGCAGAGATCACCATCCTGGCGATTGGCGAAAGTTTGGACTCCGATAAACTTCGACGAGCAAACCTGCAACCACGAACTCGAACCTCCAGTTGGAGCAAAGTTTCCTCAAATGGATCGTCCTTTGGACGAAGACAGAAGGACCTGAAAGCGCCGCAAGCAGACAGATCCCTGCCGAAGAAGCCGTGCTGTCAAGCAGGTACATTGCAGCAGTGCGAAGGTGGCTTTGAAACGCCGGCATGTGTAACAGTTTGCTTTGGCACTTCTGGCAGAACTTCGAGTGACTCCGCGGGCGCCTGGTTGCACCCAGCGATAGCGAGATAATGAGTGCATCTCGGCCTTAGAGAGACGAGTCGTTGCAGTCTCTTACTGCATGTTCCTGCGAACAAAATGGCCCACCTGTGGCATCGAACAGCGGTTCATCGTCACAGTGCCAGCTGACCTTGGACGAAGGGCTTCAGCGGGCTCCAGCAACACTTCAACACCCCAACCCCACCCCATCTCGCTTGGCTGAACACACCAATGCAAGGAGACTCGCAACTCACTCTGTGTTACCAACGATGCGGTGACTATCGGAGCTTAGGGACCGATAATTTCGGGTGCACTTCGCATACTGCCGTTGAACCAGTGAATCGAGCATGTCGCGTTGTCCATCCCGCCCTTGTACAGGTTGGCGTTGCACGAGTTCGGGCGCTCCTGCAAGCGCAGTGGCTTCCAGTGGGCTTCCAGCTATCTACTTCCGCGTTCTTGCGGAAATATGCGGGGCAACTTGGCGGCAAATCATAACCTGCGACACGACCGAACCCAAGTGTGAAGAGAGCCCTGTCTTGTGCTAGCCTTCCTGCAAGAAAATGTTGAGTTATTCATAATATGCAAAGTCAGCCCCACCCCTCTGTCGACAACCATGCTACTCGGAAAAGGACACTCTTTTGAAGACGTCGACTTGTTGCGTCCTTGAGTCCGCAGGCTTGTGCCACCTGGAGTTGCAACACTGTCCGATAGAATATACTGAATATACGCAGTCTGCCAATGCCAAGACACCTCTGTAGCCCTCTTCGCATGCTTGCACACGCTGTATATGCAATCTCTATATACATGTAATATGCAAGCGCATGCATACACACTGTCCATGTATATATGTACACATGTCTGCATTTTGTATGCATATGTATGCATGTATGTGCTTATACACACATCATGAGCGCAGCTCTGTTCTCGCACGGCCTGGTCGGTGATCTCCAGGAACCACGGAGGCATTGTCGCGGCTGGAAACCGAAGGCCCGCATACTGCAACGTAGTGGCTTCATTCTCATCTTTTCAGCTCGTTCCTTTTTCAAACCACGTTTGAGGCGGGAAGTTGCAGCAAAAACGCTCGTGTTTGCACCTGGTACTCGCAACGGCAGCCCGGCAAGGTCAGCCAGGCTGCTGAGCGGGGCAGCAGCGCTTCGCAAGGCGCGTTCTGCTCCTTGCCTCTGCACCATTCTAAAAGATTTTTTGCACAGCTCATCAGCCTCTGACTAAATATGCGCCTTCTTTCGGAGGCCGCTCTGGCTTCCGCCAGCAGATGCGGCTGAGGAGAGTCTGCCTCGCAAGCGGGGACCATGTCCGTTTCAGAAAACAAAGCGGGAGAGTGACTTGCAACTCCTGCAAAAGCGGTGGAGTTGGCATCGCTGATACGCCGGAACCGACATGAGCTTTCGAGTATATAGAGGTATGCACCGAACATGTTAGGGATGCTAGGTAATGGGCCTCCACTGATGCAGAGTCGAAGCTGGAAAAGCCTGCGCCAGAGCCATGCTATTCCCGAGAAACCTGTGTAACGTGGAAACTGGACCAAACAATATCAAGTCCACCAGTGCTGTTCCTCCTGGCAAGCGTGCCCAACTGAACAAAGGAATGGTGTCATTCGAGCATTGCTTGCTTGTTTTGCACCGAGTGCAGCTATTGCTTGTCGCACAGGTGCAGGAGAGACAATTGCAGCTGCTTCAAATTCGACTGCACTTTCTTTTGCCGGAGCTCCGTGGCCCATGGCATGTGTGGAAAGCCTGCTTGCGATAGGAGACGAAGCTGCGTCGATGAACGTCGTGCAGAACCTCTGGAAGTCTGACATTACGGCCCTGGACTGGGGGAGGTTCCACATTGTTCTCGAACATAAAAGGTGCAATGCAGCGCCTAAAGCCAAGGTTCGTAACGCGATGCCTGCATCATGATCTCATCATAAGCTCATCATAGCACGTGCGCTCTCATCTCACGGCCCATGTAAGACTGCGGCACAGGCCCAACCATCGCAGACTCGCGCCAAAGGCCCGAGGACACCACCACCCCAAAGCGCTCGTTCCTGGCGCGAAGGCAAGGCCCGTGCAACAACGGCGATGCGAACGCTTCGTTGCCGACCGTGGTCTCGGCCGACGGTTCTTACACTTCCAGCACAAGACAAGCTGAAGTAAACTGCTTGCACTGGCCGGGCTCCATGGCTCCTGCAGTGTCTCTTCAGGTGGAGGCAGCGGCCTTGGTGCCGTGTGCGGGATCAAACAAATAGCGAACTCGCGCATCCGTGAATGGCGTACCAGTTCCGTGGCAATCTTTGCTTTCGAAGCCTCCATCACCCGCAGCATGACTCAACGTTCGTGGGCAAAGGGTTGTGTTGAGTTGTGTCTTCGCCGCCGGGACTTGTCATGACATGTCATGCTCTCACCGCCTTGAACGCTGCAGTAGCAAGAGATTTGATGCCGACAGGAGTGAGTTGTGAGTAGCTACGTTCCACAGCCAGGTTCCGGGTTCTAAGGCGAAGGCTTCATCCGCCCTGATTAACCTCGCCTTATCGGACCAACCCTCCAGCAGCTTTGATGCGAACCGCCAACAAAGCAGGGTGCCCAGAATCCACCCACATGCCCAAGCCAGTCCAGAACCAACCTCGAACTAGTGCTTGACTTGGCATTTCCAGGCAGCCAGGACGGCCGAGAACCCTTACCAAAGCTGACCGAGGCCGCAACTTCTTCTTCAATGGTCGGGGCCTGGGCCACTGAGGGACGAAAGGTTTGGAAACGGAGCAGTTCGGGGCCGAATCTCGGTAGTTCCAGGTAAGAAGCCATCAAAGTTCAAGCCTCAATTGTATGAAGCTGAAACTGACCGTTTGAGCTTTCGAACCGCTAGCAATTCAGCAAACACCAAACCTTTACCAGGGTCTTTGCTTTGTCCGCTTTCGCTTCCCTCGCCGGCGGCGCCGCCGGCGTTTTCCATCAGGAGGCAGATCACCTCGTTGCACACGGTTTGCGAAAGTGAGATCGAACAGACGAGGTCCCACATCTCACGTTGAAGATACGGTCAAGTCAATCAACCGTCCATGTCCATCTCAACATGAGTTGCTCGGTCGTAACACACATCCTAGACGGCAATTTGTGGAGTTTCTGGAATCGTCTGGAATCGGTGTTCCCCGTGTCCTCATTTTGAGCGGTCGACGCTGTAGAGGTCGCATCGTTTCAGCGATGTGACGACACATCCTTCCATCTGGCTCTGTGAGTCAGCTTGCGCTCCGCTTGCCAGAGCAGCTGGGAGAGTTTCGGGCCTCCTGTCGAACTCCCCCTGCTCAATCGCAAGCTCGAGGGAAGACACAAGACAACGGCAAGGACGTGCACCGTTGCCCCAAGTGCACCAGCCCTTGTTCCTACGCACTGTCGCGGTTCGCCGACATGCAGTGATTGTAATCTTGCTTGTTGTTTTGCGTGTCCAGGCAGACGAGCCGCAGACGGGCGAGAGCGATACCCCTCTTCGCCCTTTCAAAGAGAGACGTGCTCGCAGACAGTGCCAGGTGGTGCGATGTATGCAGAGCTTGTCCTGAGCACGCGGCAGTCCGAAGACGACGTCATGCCGTCTTCGAAGGTATCCTCCTCACAGCTCACACGAAGCCCTGCTGCGAGTTTCCTGCCCATGCCACTGAGGTATCTGGCGGCCGAACTGCAAAACAGTACCCCGAATGCAGAATCGAACCCGTCCTGAGAGTGGAGTTGTGCGCTTGTTGAGCAGGGTCTGAGAGGGTGCTGGATGCCTGCTGCAGGTCATTCACGCTACCGAGCGCGCAGCTTGTCTCGCTACTAAAACGGACTGCAGCTCAATTCGCAAGTATTGGATTGATAACTTCCTGACGCGCACAGCGGCACTGCAGAATAGCTCAGCCGACACGACCCCGGGCATGCCGTGCGCGGCTGAGCCTGACGCGTCGGGAGCGGCAAAACTGACGGGATGCCTCGCTGAGAAAGCCGTCTAAACATTTCCAGGAACCGAGGCCACTCTGCCAAAAGATTGCCGACACCGAGTTTAGAACAAGGAGCGTGAACATGAGAATGTCTGGAAGTTTGCCGAGTCGTCTCTCGCAGATCTGGCATTGAGTTCCCCGTCCATGCACCAGGATGCCTCCACCCTTCATTTATCAGAGCCACATATCATGATCATGTCAACTGCACAGTTTTGGCCGTAACACGAGCGAAAGCTATCCTGGCGACAAGGAACCAATTCAACTTCCGTGTGAAGACGCCGAGCCCGGCCCCACGATCTAGCGATCTAGGGTCTGCACCGAAGAGTCAGGGCTTGCAGCGGGTAGAGCAGTTCCATGGGATGCACCGCCTGGATGGGGGCTGGGGTGCGCAGTCAGGCTGCAATGAAACGAAGCCTACTTGATTCAACGGTACCGCCGGCCGCACTTCGAGCATACAGCTGCGCCAAATGCGTAGCTTGCTGAGGCATGCATTGCAAAGCTATCATGCCACAATGGCAGCCAGCGCCCAGCTGACACTGGCCCAAAAACATGATATCACTTCAGCACCAGACAGAAAAATCCCCCGAACAAGGCTGTCGTTTGAGCTCAAGGAGCAGGAACTTGACCGTGGCAAAGCTGGCACTGGCCCTGGAGCCTGGGCCATCTATGAGGGCTTGCGGTAGGAGTAGAAGCAGCAGCAGCAGCAGCAGCAGTGGTGGTGGTTGTGGAAGTTGGTTCTGAGTCCTGAGCGGTGGTGGCAGTGCCAGTGGCAGTGGACGCAGCAGTGAGGGTAGGAGTTTCAGTAGCACTATCGCAAGTCCGGTCTCGTGTCCAGACTCTTCCGTCCCCTGCATACCCATCCCCAAGCCCGATGGCGCAAAGACACTGATACCCCACAGTTGCGGGATATTGTGGGGTACTGGACTTTCAATGGCGTTTGCATGGAGTCCTAGATGTCCTAGACCAAGGGAGAGGTACACAGGGGACTGGAGCCAAAAGAATGTGAACGAACCGAAAGTTGTAAAACAGCAAAGCAAGTGGCGGTGTCGATAGTCGCTGTCCGTGGAAATTGGGATCGAACCTGCAAGCAGGGAAAACCCTTCATGACCGGCTGCGAGAATTGTGACAATTTCAGCTCCAAGCCCCCCTACACTGTGCCTGCACACACCTAGCTGTTAACTCTTCTTGACCAAATGGATGAGCATCTACGCAATGGCATCAACTCCACAGGAGCTATGCAAGGGGTAGGGCTGGTCACACGCATGCAATCTAAGGCAAGAAACTGAGTGCCCGCACTGAGCATACTGCCAGCTGGCTGGAAACGCGACGGCACGGGCCTGCGAAGACCTGGGCTGCTAGGCTGATAGATGGCAAATCACTGAAATTCTACAGCTAACGTCCCGAGGACAGCTTCGCGGATCTTCGCGGTTCGAGGTTGCTCGGGTCTTGGAGGCTCTGAGAGCCTGTCGGCTTTACCTCGCGACCCAGCAAGCGAGCGCCAAGGAAGTCTTGTTCTTAGCGTTGCCGTTGCGACATGTTGCGACTTCGCGGGTTCCAAAGAGAAGGGCTTCTTAAGCCTAGGCTAGGGCCTAGGTCTGCCAGAGTTGTTGAGGGATGTGCAGATCCGGAGGAATGAAGTCCCCTGCTTCACCACTGCAGTCCGGCTGCCAGTTCTCCATAGGAGCGGCCACACGGGGAACCTGGCTTCGAGGCACCCGAGACCGTCGTGGCACTTGCAAAAAGCAGAGGGGTTCCTGACTGGGGCCCTCACGGATCACATGGGATTGAGCATCTAGACAGCAGGCGCTGTCCACACTGCTGTGTTTGGCTGTGGCAGGCTTTGGCTAGAAAGGGTTCTCCGTGTTCAATGGTGGGACTGCTCAGGGCTTGATCTCGCTGCTTCTAACAAACCGTAGGATGAATCTGTTCCAGATTCTAGAGGTCTGCAGCGCTGCTGCATCTGATGTTGTGAGCAAAGTGCAGTTGCAAGATCTTTGCTGATCTTTACGGATGCATAAGCCCAATACATGATGCCTGTAAGTGCCAGTGAGTGCTTAAAGCCCCAGCAATGGAAATGCCAACGGATGTGGTGATGAGGGCGACCTTCAATCGCGCGGCGACCTTCAATCGCGCAAATGAACAGAAGCCTGTTCGAATGCAATGAGTCTTGCAGACTTGCTCACTCCGTAGATGCATGTTTCGTCAGCGCAGTTTTGCGGCAGGTAGAGGTCCGGTCCCCAATGGTGACAACGAAATACAACATACGTAGATAAACCGCGCTTCTACTGTTTTCTCCTTCACCATGGGGGCCAATCCTAAAGCGGCACGGAGCCAGCTTTCGGCTCGCAGTGACCGCGGGTCATTAGCTCGCAGGGTTCCTGCCTGGAATGGTGGGAGTGGGGAGCATCTCGGCTTCTATTCCATTCCATCCATGTCCCACTGCAGTTTGTCATTACCAACTGGCCGTTTTTGAGACTTCTGAAGAACAGCGCCGACTGTCCCAGGGTCAGAGGCGCAGCTCCTCAATTCGAAGGAGACTGCTTTGTCTCCTGCAGCAGGCATGCCAATTTCCCAGAAACCAGAATCCGTCAGCATCTGAAGCCTTTGGCATGAAGCTTCATCGGTTGAGGCGTGGCGGCTTCATCCCGCGAGCCTGAGAGGTGCTCTTACTCGGGTGCTCAAACGGGCTTCGTGTTTCAGCCGACTTCGTCATGACAGGTGCCAGAGACCTGAATCATGCACTGAATCCTATAGAGCTGGACTCGAGACGAGGGTTGTGAGCGCCAGGACTGTCCGGATTCTGAGGATGCTGCGCTGCCGTTTGGCGACTTGCCCAACTGGCAACAAAAAACGGTTGCGTTTCTAGGCTGAAGACTTTGCTCAACTTTTCACGTGCCTGGAAGCTTGGTGCTGCAGAGGCTGCAGACATGCCAGACCTTAGCATGTGGCAGATCTGGGCTGAATTGCTATCAGCCGTGCATGGCTCAGAGATCTCACAGGTTCCTGGCGGACTGTTCTCCACGGATTTGTTGTCAGTGGGTGCCGATTTGCCCGCCGTCCAGTCTACCACCTGGCCCGGCCCCTCTTCGAAGCACGGCGACGCCGCGACGCCGCGACGCCGCGCCACAGCTCCGGCCTGGTCTTTCATCAGCGTTTTCACAACCGCGAGGCCCATGTGCCTCGGCCCAGGATCTGCAACGCTGTAAGCCTAGCAAGCTCCCAAGTCGATCTTCAGGCGCAGGCCTAAGAAATTCGTGTTCCATGTCTGTGCTCTTCCCAAAGTCGTGTGATCCACGTGAGAGGGGCAATTCTGCATTGCCCTTCCGCTTTTCAGGAACGGCTCAGATGAACGTATTGAGTGCGTCCAGCTCTGCACGTCTTCCAATTCTGCATGTGGCTAAGTACACCTGCAAGCTCCAGCTATTCGCGATCATGTCGGCACGGAAACTGGAGGCGCAGGCTGCAGCGTCACGATGTCACCTCCGTAGAGTCCGTTGGGCCTCGTCTGCATGACCGAATCGGCAGTGCTTCAGCAGAGCTACCGTGCTTTCCACCAATTGGCAATGCCAGCACGCGGTCCTAAGGCCAGAACGCCGGATCCAAGGTGCCGGTGGCTGGGCCTGGGTTGAAGGCGAATAGAAGCTGATCACTGCCACAGCGAAACACGGCAAACTAAGGCTCTTCGGAAGCAACCAAGACTGGTGACTGGATGTCATGCATACGATTGAAGCAATTTTGCGGAACTGCCCGGTCGAGGCTGTCAATGTGCCCATCTCGGAAGCCATCCGTGGCGTGTTGTCGGTTTGCCATGCCAGCTGCGTCTGCTTGCGGAAAGAACAACATCAGTGTCACAAATCAAGACACCTTGAACAGGCTTGCGCCTTGAATCCTTCAAAGACAATGCATTCCTCATGTAAACACCGCTGTAAATCATGCGCTCTCCCTGCACTGAGGAGCAGGCAAGCATCTCCCTCATACTGAAAGCAAGAGCGGCTGGCCTGCGGCGTACGGTTCTTTGTCGGTTCTTTGTTGGCGACGACCGAGGCGGGTGTGCAAGCGTGACCGAAATGACAACAGATCCCATATGCGCATGTGCAAGAGTCAGGTGTCAAAACCCTTGGTCCAAACGAATGAAGAAGGTAGAAGCAACCATGCCTGGAGGAAACAGGATCCCAGCAAGATGCGATCGACGTTTCCCCATGAGCCCAGAGGGATGTGGTTCTAAAACTAGGGAACCCTACCCCGACTTGAGGGCCGTAATATGATCCCAAGATGGCATCCCATGTCCCTTCTTTAATCGGGCCCAACCATACGGACTAGCTCATGTAGAGAAGCTGCATTACAATCTATTTATAGTATCGCATGGTATGATGTTGCATGCGTGTATAGCGAGACAGACAGACAGATGGACGGACGGACGGACAGACAGACAGACCGACAGACGGACAGACAGGCAGGCACACAGACAGACAGGCAGACAGACAGGCCCCATCGAAACGTGTCAAGGCTTTTACCCGGACGCGCAAGGTTGGCCTCCACGCTGGCGATGAACAAAGATCGAACAGCGGAGTTGGAGATGCTCGGATCCTGCGCCCTTGGTTGATAAGTCGCTCACGCTGCCAAGCAGGAGTGGAAAAACAGTTCGCAAAATCCGAGGTCATCGCACCCACATGACTTGAAGAATCTCTACCAATTCCGGGTGACAATTAGGTAGCTTCCCGCAAGGGATGCAAGGGCCAGGCTGGATGAGGCCCTTGAAATCCGCGTAATTCAGCCGGCAAACCCGCTCGTCCTCGAAACACTTTCTTGAGTCTGACAGGAATCTCGCGCCCGCAGCTAGTTTCTACCAACATTTCTAGCTGAATTTAGCTGCCTTGGCCGAACTGAGCACATGAAACCTGAGAGAGAAATCCTGAGAGTGTAGAGGAGATGTCTAATGCCAACTGCTTCCAATAAATGTCTTCGGTTGCTTGCATGCCCTGTTCCGTAGCAGCCAAATGTTCGGTTTACACTGTGGGAGAAGGCACTTGGAGGTTGTTGGTGCATCCAAAAATCACGCAACCAGACCCGTGTACAAGGCACTGCAACAAGAGAATGCAATTGCTGGCAGTGCAGGAGCCTGGTTCTTGTCGTCAATCTTGTGATTGCCTTCGTGCTCCCGCAGGCACAACGCCCCACAGGAGGAACAATGAGGATGCTCAGCTGCCGACGGTAGATCTTGCGAAGGCCTTCGACACCTTGGCCATCAAGTGTGACGACTCGGCGCTCTTCCGATATCCAGGTTGGGAGACATACAGGCACCGTCCAAGAGTTCGGGCCTAATGGCCTAATGCTTTAGATGAGGTTAGACACGCATCACTTGACCCTGCGCTGCAGACACATCCCAGAACTACTCAAAGCTGAACAGGTCCAATATGCAGTTGGTACGAACAAGCGACCAAGAAAAAAAGAATGGGCGAAGTGCAGTATTCCTTTTCGCGGACTTTGTGTCCATGTGAAACGCTGGCTGTCTGGCCAGGATGGGCAAACACGATTACCCATCATCGCAGCAGAACTGGTTAGGCCTTGGATGCTACTTTAGGGAAACCTTGCACTGCACTTGGTCGTGTTCGATCTTTCATATGACGCTTGTGCACAGCCTGCCAGAGATGCCACTGCCCAAAAGAAAGCAGGCGCAACTGCTTAGTCAAGGACTCATTTCATCGATCTGTGACTGCTCCAGGTTGTCATGCAAGTGTATCAGGATGAAAACCTGCATGCACTCTCAGTACCTGCGTTGCTTTCTCGTGTTCAGTTTGGAGCTCACCCCGGCCAGATTTATCGGACGTCAGACGACCGCTGCACAGTGCCTGTTCCATTGCAGTCTTTGACAGCTTTGGATTAACGGGCAAACTCGCTGATGCACCTTGCTCAGGGCGCCACACAGCCCTCTCAATGTCAGCCTGAGAAGAATGTTCAACATTGAAGCCTCCAAAGCTTACGGGGGTTGCCGCGCCAACCTCACAGGTGAGACAGATCGGGCCGTTCCCGGAAAATTGCTCGTCACTCAAGGCCCTGCGAGCACAAAGGTAATCTCTCCCAAAGCAGGAGCGCAAGGGAAAGAAGGGGCACTTACTCAGCGTTCAATCCGCCTGACTGCTGGTGCTCCGCAGCACCTGCTCGCGGCACTGCCGCGGCGGACGCAGATCCGGAAAGCGTGCCTCGGAAATATCACACAGTGGCAAGCAGCTTACTTAAACTGCACATGAAGACACTCCTTGCGATGCGAGACCTGAGCTTCTTCAGCACACGGACGGTTTGAGGCTTATTGTGGCTTTTGGAATGTCCTCTACTGCTTCCAACTCTGATAAGTGAGGCCGTGCGCCTGCGCGCAACGGAAGCACAGCTCCACCTGCACGAGGCGGATTGAGGCGGTACTTGCCATCCCCCCCCCGGAATCGATGTCGTAGAAATCCTCGACACGCAAACACATGCTTGACGAGCCACCCGACCTGACCTGAAGAGCAAGCTCCCTTCTGCTGCTAAGCTAAATGCATGGAGTATCAATGCTGGCTTTTGGCATTCTGCGAAGATCTTTGCGACTGATGTTTGGATGAGGGCAACCCGCGCCTATAGCTGACTGAATTCGCTCACATCCGGGGACAATGAGAAGTGCGCGTACAGCGAAATGGGCAAGCTTCCAAGCATCCCGAGAGTTGAACATGAAAACCATGCACTAGAACTCCTGGCGAGAAAGCGAGAAGAAAACTGAAAGCTGACCGGCTGCGGCAGGCCCCAAACCGTGGTTCGTACTGCCGAGGTACACCGCTGCCATAAGGCCGCTTGCTGCTGCAGGCTTCGCACCGCCAGAAATAAAAGTTGACTCCTTTGACCTTGGGGCGAAGAGACTACTGGAGCCTCTGAGCTCTTTCAGCGCTGAGCACGAGCGCATCCACAGCTCTCAACTTCTGTGGTTCACCCGTAGCTTCTAGGAAACCCTTCCCATCCAAAATGACATGTACATCCAACCTGGCCAGGAGCCTGTTATGAAACTCCTGAACTGCCTGAGATCCTGACAGACCTTTGGCAGCCTGCACACACCTTGGGTAACGGGCATGGCGGCATGACTGTGAAAAAAGGGTCATGGAAGGCTCACAGCAATTTAAACAAAAGAGAGAGCAGCCCCGAGCGGAGAGTGCAGGCGTGCAGTCAGGATGCAAATTTAGCCAGGCCGGACTCCTGCAACAGGGAACGGGACCCCAACAGTTTACGGAACCATGCGATGAGCACGGCGTCTGAAACGCAAAACTTGCGCTTCGAGCACAAGCTTCAAGGCCAGCAGGCTGAAGACTTAATCAAAAGATGGTTCTAAACTTTCGAGCTCCTTCGTCGTACAACCTCAGACAGCCGCAGACAGCAGTAAGCAAAAAGAAAGTGCACCAGACCCCAGGCAAAGTCATGCGCGAGCTTGGCAAAACCAACATCTTGGAGTCTGCGTCTGGATGCTTCACTGACAGCCTTGCAGTCAAGGGGCGTCGATAGATTGTGCCACACCTTAGGACTGTCGTGAGCCGTCCAGCTGTTCCCACACAGACAAACGCGAAACAAACTGTGTCGTTGCGACCTGTTGCGGCCATGGCGCATGCATTTTGCAGCTATTTCCTGCAGCAGGATCAGGTGTGACCATGGCGGCACTTCATGTTCCGCAGCGTGCGGAACATGCTGACATGAACTGACATGTCGCGTGATGGTATGCGCGCAGCGTGCGAGATCCGTGCAGAATCGGAGTCAGTAGTCGGGAATGGGAACTCCATGGAACCACCTCCGATGCGTGATGAAAGGTTGGAGCAAGTTGCGCAAGCAGATTTGGAGCACACTTTAAGTGAAGTGAGGTCCTCGAAACTGTATTCGGAAGACCCCTGATGCTGAACATCGGAACCCGTCCCAAACGTGGCGACAGAAGGATAGCTGAAACTGAATGGAAGTGAAGCCTCGACCCCTCCACGGCTTTGCCGAGATCGCAAGATGGAACAGCGCGTCGACTTTGGTGGGTCAGGGAGAACAATGGAAGGCTTCCGAGGGCTGCCACACTATTTGGAACAAGAGGGCGTCGGAAACCTCTACGACTCTATGTTCGAGCTGTCGTCGAAATCCTAAGTCGAGGCACTTCTGATCACTACTTAAACTAAGCGATTGAAGTGTGTACTCACAAGCCGGAAACAACTGCTTCGGCTTCGGGTAGTGTCCCTGTGAGTCTCTTCCTGCAGCTGTTGGCATGCGTCGTGCTTCTCAATACGTACAACAGAAAAGGAATGCAGTTGAGACACACACGCGGTCGAAATCGCACGCGAAATCTGTTTCGGATGATGATTCTGCAAGCTCCCGAGATGATCCCAAACCGTTGGATCCTGTCCTTCCGCTCTGCTTGCTGCAGCCTGTACGTGTAGACGTCGCGGTACAGCAATAACTTAGCTCATGCATGGCAGTCTGGGCTTTTGCTGGCGAGTTGAAATTTCATGAAGAGCCTGAGCTCCCGGTCCAATCGCCAATCTGTTCATGCAGGAGGTGGCGACTTGCACCACATGGCGAGCAATACGTCTCAGCCAAGGCACACCGATTCCAGGTATCATGACGAGGGTGAACAGAATCGCACACAAGATTACGACTTCCTGGTGTCAGGTGGAGGCAACGCACCTATGATACGGCAAAGGCAACACGGCAGCACGCATCTTCTGCGAAAGACTGCTGCACTGCCAGAATTCACTACACAGCATCACCCGACAACGGGTTCCAATATACACAACGCCGCCTGCTTATGAAACTAGTCACAAACAAGTGCCAAGTATCGAAGATCTCATCGCCGGTCTCTGGCAGCACCTTCAAGCTCCGGTTCGTTTACGTCCAGTGCTGCTGCTAATTACTCTTCCGCCCATATGATTCTGGCCAGAGTCGTTGCAGTACTTCGAAACAACAATAGGACTGCGTGCCCATTGCAAGCTTTTCGTCGGACGCTTCCCAGCCCGCAAATGTCGAGATGAAGAAGAAGCAGGCAAGACAAACACACTCATCTTATCTCATCTTGATTTGCGCGGAAGCTTCTACTTCGACCCACCGGCCTTTAAGCCAGCCGTCGATACCAAAGAGGCCATCTGGCGCGGGAAAGCGCTTCAGCCCCTGAAACTCGAATTCGCATGGCACGGTTCAGAGAAGCTTCATAGGATTGCTGTCACTCTCATCTCTTCATTGCTCGACTTCACGCACTTCTTTCTGATGGGTTGGCATTGGGCTTCTCGCCACTTCTCCAGGGCCAAGGAATCCAGGCTTGCTACGGTAGAACCGCTGAGTTTCGCTTGTGGCTCCAACGCTCTGATGGCTGACCATGCATTTGCCATGCTGTACGGCTCTAACTCTATGGATTCTAGGACTCTAGCCGCCTTTCACACAAGACCCTTCAGTTTTCTGAATCCATCCCGAATCCGTGGAAGCTCCAAGCACAGCCCAAAGCTCCTGCGCTGCAGGCTGCGCTGCAGGCGGGCATGGCATCTTCTTGAGCTATGTCGGCAGTGGGCGAGCCAATGTGCGGACGGCGCATAAGGGCCGGTTAGGGCCGGGTAGGGGACCAGGAGGAGGGATGGATCTTGGCCTGTTCCGAGGGTAGCCAGGAGTTCCGAAACCTGGAGCACACCCCGAGCGACGAAAGAACCTTCAGAAGCATGGCTGAAGCTGCGCCTTCCGCTGCCTCCGGGCACCTGGCGGTCGTGCAGCTCAGCGGCCACCGCCTTCCGCACGGCCCAAGAAGTGCACCAGCCCCCCTTCGGGCCTGTCTACCCGTATACAGCAGCACAGCAAGAGGCACGTTTGCAACAGATCTAGCTTAGAATATTGACATTGACATCCATGGACGTCCCTGCCTCGACCGTTGCCCAGAGCATTTGGGACTCCGTGATGTAACCCTGTCAATCTTCATTCATCACGTTGAAGCACATCCGTGAGTCCCTTTCGGAAGCAACAGAACCAACGTCACGAGTGAACCGATCCAACCGCGCCTTGGTCAGCTTGCCGTGTGAGCCACCACCTGTAGCAGAATACTGCTGCCTGTCCATCAATTCTTCGCTACAGCTGAACGACGAGATATGATGCAGCCCAGGCAGTAGTGTTATCTTTATAGTTTTATACATCCGTGTCCGCTACGCACTTGGAAAGGAAGTCCCGCGTCGACTCGTGTCAAGCTTACAAGGATGTTCGTGGAAATGCGAAATCATCGAGCACCGGGCCAAGGTATTCCAACACCAAGGCTTCGGACAAAGCAGCCTTGTCAGGTCCCAGTCCGATTTGGACTGCATAGTGGCCCACTCCGCATGTGCTTCGAGATGAGTTGTTGAAACGGTTGAAGCAGTCGATGGCATGTAAACTCAGCTCGGGTTAAACATAGCGTAAATACAATCTTAGCATTCACTAGTACAGGGATTCTATCGACCCGCCCTGCAAGACGCTACGAGTACCGAGGTTCTTCAAGGTCGTCCAAAGTGTGATTGTGGCGATTGCTTCCGTGTGGGGTTGGGGTCTCCTGCAAAAACTCTTCGTGTGCTGCTGGGCGAATGCTTCTTGCTCCACTTCTTGCCCTTCCTCTGCTTGCACTGGCCCGGTGTGGCAAAATCCCACCGAGTTTAGCCGAAACAGCTGGCCTGAGTTCCAAGGGCGGCCGGGGGGCATAGCTTGGACCTGACAAAGGCGATAGGACAAAGTTCTCCTGGAGTTGGAAGGATGCACAACGCGAGAAAACTGGCCTCCATATGGCATCGTCGATACCCAAGATCTGAGCCTGTGGGGCCGTGCCAACTGCATCTGCGAAACCGCGAAATTCCAGCATCCTGTAATTTTAGCGACTCTTTCATTTGCTTGCACTGGCTGCTATCCCATCATCTATATCACCAAGCGGAAAGCACTTGCAAGTCCAGAATGCGTCAGATTCCTGTGTTTGCCGCAGGTGGGCTGAGATGTCAGACACGCAGGGCTTCAAGAGCAGCCAAGTGCAGCAGATCTGCTGAGCGTCCGGCATCTCGAAGCGCATCCCGGAACTCGTCGCAAGTTACTGTGCCCTCAGTTGCTCTTAGGGAACTTCTCCGGAATCAGTTGTCAGTGCAGGCGCTAGGAACTTCTGGAGAGGAGGAGAACAAAGCTCGGGGATCTTCCTAGAAGGCAATCATCTTGAAAACTCCAGCATGATCGCGTCAAGCAGTGTCCGGAGCCGCCCCTCGTCTCTTCTTCAACGCACGCTTGTGTTCCCATGGCACAGCCGCAGGCGAAAAGCATCCATCCTCTCCCTTTCTCTCTTCCATTGCTTTCATGGGGCATAGGGGTGGTCCACACCCCTCCAAGTTTTTTACGCCTCGTTCCTCGTGTATGACGATCAAGCGTCGAACTACATCCGTCGTGAAACAATGCTCTGGCTCCCGAAACATTGCCACAGCCGACCCCCGATTCTTGCGGGCCTGCTTTCATCTACAAGGGCTCAGCTAGACTGCTCCGGCAGTGGCAGAGCGTCCACACAAGAGTGATCACGGGCAGCTCATGTGGAGATATGTGGAAGGGATAACGCCAGAGCTTCAGGACAAACTTCAACGAACTGACTGACCCGAGAGACGGGTTCTGCGGACAAGCACACAAGGCAAATTAAGTCACCTCCGAAGCACATCTGCCGAGGCAGTTCGAAGTGGGACCACTGATCTTGTTGGCTTCTTTATCTGTCTTTCGCTCTCACTCACTCTACCTCTGCACGTCTCTCTCTCCCTCTCCCTCTACCACAGGAAAGGTCACACAGTCCAAACCCGCACATCCAGCGCCCACTCGCACGTCTCAGGATGAGAGTGAAGGAGCTTTCGCGGCCTCTTGACAGGAGGGCAGAGCCTTTTGCAGGGTTTAGGGTGGCATGCCCTTTCGGTTGAAGCCGTGTTCGGTATCTACATCCGCCGGATGGATGGGAGCAAAAAGAGCTGCAGGTTTGCAGGTTGGACACGTTGACGGACCGGTTTCGGTCTAGTAGCACGGGGGGGGTCACTTTGATATGAGCATTGTCCTTGTGTTCCTGCTCCCCTCAAGTCTCTCCAGGGAGCTATCGGAGAAGAAAGCTTTCAACTGTAAAGGATACATGACACGCGATGGGAACCACCAAATCGCAATTTTAAGCTGTAGGCCTTTAGGCTTGCAACCTACGTAGAAGCAGGATCGAGCGCAGAGGAGTTATGCCCCACAGGGATAGCTTTGAGAAGCTTGGGTTCTCTCCACCTCTGTCCTCTCTCTGAACAAAATCCCGCACTGCCCGAGAGCCAGGCACGATTCTCGACTCTGGCAATCTGGGCACAGACACAGACAGTGATTGCTGTTGTCGTGGGTTCCGGGCATGTGGATACAGAACCACACACTTCACTTCATGACTTAGAGCAATCGGTCCGGAAGACTGTCCGAGCAGCTTTCACTGCCCAGTGGTAAAGAACTTTGGCCGAACTCACATCAACAAGGTCAAAAGCGACCTCGCATCCCGTGCACGAGTCACAATACTGCTCAGTTTCCCAGCGGGTTGTGGCACGCGGGGAAACTTGTCATGCGCGTAGGCCGCCCGGCCAGATTTCTCATTTTCGAAGCTGCCTCGCGGCGGAGGCGATCGTGGACGATCCTGGCTTGTGCAGAAAACTTAGGAGGGGTCGTGCAGGTTTAGCAACAGCCAGGGCCACAGCAGCAAGAAGAAGAAGTCGTTCATGTCTGCCTGGGGATGCCTTGCACATGGCCCATGCCAGGATAGTAACAGCAGGAGCTTAGGACTTAGCATCGACTATCGGCAATATCATTCCGCAAAGCCCTGAGGACATACGCAGACTTCCTAACTTCCTTGCCAACTGCTATGAGCACAGGAACGGTTGAAGCCGACAGCGGCGATGCAGCATTCGCATGTAAGTGGATCAAGCCGTGTCTGGCCTGGAATCCTCGGGGAAGGTTGCAAACCTTATGCCGGACACAAGAGTGCGTTTGAGCCTCATAGTGCATGGAGTGACCGCATGCACAAGCTCGCTGGTGAAGAGTCTGGATCAACTGACTGGGCAGCGGCTACTCAAAGAAACAAGACGAATTGCGGTCAAGCGTCTTCATCAAGCACACCTCATTCGAAAGATCTGTGGTGCTTGTTGCTCCGGAACAAGGGGCTCAGGCTAGGTTGGCATGTATGACAATGTATGAGTTTAGACCACAGCTAGACAATCCCTGCAGTTTATCGCCGTACGCAGGCCGCCAAAATCTTGCAACTTCAGCATCTCAGAGGCAGGGAAGGGTTAGAACACAAATATGTCGAGGGCCCTGCGAAAAGCTCTCTTCTCGAAATGACGGTCCCGCCGAAGGGCAAAGCCTCCACGCAGTCCACGCAGAACCGAACTGCCCACTTGCGCTCAGATGCGCGGTGTTCCTGTTCAGTTCTATCTTTGCTGGGGCTCCTGGACCGGAACATACGCCAGCCAAGAACAGCAAGGTGCTTCACAGAAGATGCAGCTGGACACGAGCTTGGGGTTATCATGGCTCAGCCTTCTTTGCTAGCAGGTGCTGGGACCTGCATCTTGTTCATGACTTCTGCAGACCGAGTTTAATGCACTCCAAGAACTCTCGTCGAACAGGCAAACATAGACTCTTGAGCAATGTGAATAGCAAGCGCAACTTGTGAATTGCAGACTGCAGCCACCCGCATCACCGACGCCTTCGTAGCGGAATCCCAGGCGTTTGGGATGGTCTGGCAGCAGCACGGAACTCGCTCCCATCTAGGAGTCTATACTCGCAAACCTTCAACAGATCGAGACGTTGGAAGTTAGGCATTGAGACTCCAGTGATGCATGCTTGCAGCACAATGCAGCTCACGCACAAACCTGCTCTACACCGTACGCCAAGCCCCCAAGAGCTTGGAAGCTGCAGTACCGAGATTCGAGGAGCAGGCTAGGTGCACTTCGGAATCATCGTTCTTGGCCTCGCACAAATATGGTGGCCGAGTCAATCTTGCTGAGGACTGGCTGCAAAGCCACGTGAAACCAGGACCAGCAAGGCTAGGCTGCGCTGGGCGGACTCTAGCAAGGCATTGAGAAACTTTTTGTGACATCCACAACGTAGCCAAAAGGCTGTGCCTGAACGCTGTGGCCGAAACGGCCGGCGCGCGGGCTCGGCGACCTGTCAAACTGGATGCGACAACAAACTTTCTAATCTCGTTCGACTTGCCCGCTCCTGGTTCTCACATTCGCCGCTTTGTCAAGCTGGTGAATCTCTCTCGAGCAGCGTTGTTTCTCAAATGTTCTAGCCAAAAATCCACCCTGTGTGTCAACCTTCCAGTCCCTGTCAACTGATTTGTATTTCTCTCTCGGATTGGTCTCTTTGTCAAACTCTCAAGTCTCTCTTGAACCGCTTGTTCGTACTGATCAATTCTCCCTTCAAGATATCTTGTCTCATTCGGGCGATCACCCTTCGGTGTTTTGCTCTTCGTTCTCAAATTCTGAGTCTGTTGGGAGAAAACGGTTTGGAAGGTGTTCAAGACCAATATGCGAAAATACGACGAACCGTTGCCCGCGCCATATCTGTCCCGATCGGTTTGCTCATGTTTCGACTGCCCGACTGGCTTGCTCTTTGTCAATCTGTCCACTCTGGCAATTTCACTGGTTTCTTTCTAGCAGTTTGCTCGCCACATGAAGGGCTTGAATATTCAGCCTGGGCACTTGTACGCTGTTTTATCCAGCTGATTGCTGCCGGGTCGATTTTCCTGTGCATTCTCATGTCATTTACTTCAAACGTGCTCCTAGGCTTGTTTTCGGCATTCCCAACAGTGTCTGCCCTGTGTTTGACACTTTTGCTCAGCACCGTAATCGGTGAAGGCATGTAAACCAACTAGCGATGTCCTAAGTCATTGCGCGGTGCTTTCGAAAACAAGAGCTACGATATCAACATTGTTCTCTTTCAGTATCAGTGCGACATACAGCTGCTGGCGGAGGAGTATAAATTCAGCCTTTCATTTACAGACTGCGTGTCTTATGTGTTCTATTTTCAGGCCTTACATATGCAAATTCTTTGTGGGGAAGAGCATTTCCTACACCTGTTCATTGGAAAGAAACTTGGACAATCAGTACGTGATGTGCGAGCACACCTTTGTTCCTGGAGTGTACGACACCTATTGTACCACATCACGGAGACTTTACAAATCAAATGCCAAAAGACCGAAGTACATGTTAATGCGATTCAGATCACAACTTTTCTTGGAGCATTGGCTTACTCATGGTGGCGTATCTCCGGAGACCATGCGGCAACAACTTTTGGGAATACAAGTTGGATTATTGGTCTGGCTCTTGCCATCAAAGGGTACTGTTAGATCTGATTTTCACGTGTGGCATGTGTACTTTATGGTATCTTGGATTCTCGGGCTTATGGATCTTGCACGGTTGCATCACACAAAGCATTACTTCAGGATCATATTGCGAGCAT